CTATCTCTCCTGCCAGCTGAGTTTTTCATCTCATATGACCTGGCATGTCACAAAGGCTCAGAAAAGAGACACAGTGAGATTGACCTGGGGCCGAGCAGGGCCTGGCTGATTCTCTAGCATTATCTAGACTTTGGATACTTTGTAGTGCTGTAGAACTGTAAGAAATCCTGTAATGTGAGAAAGAAGAAAGAATGGATAGAAAACATCAGCAGAATGAATAATAAATAAGTATTTGCTAGAGACTAGTCAATCTTCTTACAAAACAAGAAAGGAAATAGATATGAGTCACAGCTCTGATAGCGGCCAGGCTGGGGTTAGAATCAGAAACCTCAGGTTGGGGTTATTGTTTTTGTTCTGCCTCCAAACAAACCCTGAATTTCAAGATGCTTCTCTCTCAGAAGAACTAAATTGCAGTTTCTTAGGATTCATACCCATCACGGTTCCAGAGAAAGACCATTTCCTAGTTCTAAGAATGCCTAATGAAAATTCCCAAGAAATATTTTAACCGTTGCCTGACTTTTGGCTCCTTCGGTGATTTAAATGTCAGTGAATATGAAACTGACAAAGAATATATCCTTGCAAAACACACAAGCTTTGTGGCTATGAATCAGAGGGGGAAGAGGTCTTAGTGCAGAGTCCTGTCAGGAAAGAAGCAACTGAAACTTCTCAGGAGGGGGAGACCGTGAACATGACTCATGACTAAGTTTTCATGATGTTCAGTAGCAACTGGTACCAGACACTAACAGATAAAAATTAAAAAAAGTGGAAAACAGAACCTGGGATTTTAGCTTTCCTAAAGCTTAGTTATGCTCAGGACAGCTAGGCCGAAAGACCGTATAAAACAAATGAGAGGCTTAAAGAGATGCTAAGTGTTTTATTTACTGCAAACGCACTGCTTGGTGAGCTCAGCCCAGGCCAAGTAAATCCACAAGTGGGGTAGAGGATAGGGGTAAGTGGTAAGAGCGCTAAGAGCAGCCTGGAAGGTCAAAAGAAAAAGAGGAAGATAAATCTAGCCAGTGCATTGGCTGGCGAAGATCTTGGGTAGGGACAGACTCAATTTGGGGCAAACACCAAGTCCCCCATCTTCCCAGCTTGCGTTCACCTCTCCCTCCCCTCCCCTGGCCCCAGCTGCCACAAAGAGCAGCTCTCAACACTGGTGGCAAATTAACTCACTGGGACACATCCAGAAAGTTACCTTCCCCACAAACTGTAGCACTGTAGTACTGTCGTCCAGTTGTTCATCGATTTGCTCGAGCGGGCACCAGTAACATCTCCATTGTGAGTCTTGTTGTTACTATTTTTGACATATCGACTATGACACGGGGAGCTTGCCAGGCTCTGTCATGCGGGCGGGATACTCTCAGTAGCTTGCTGGGCGCTCCGAGAGGGATGGAAGAATCGAATCCGGTGGGCCACGTGCAAGGCCCACCCTACCCACTGTGCTATCGCTCCCCACAAACAGTGACTTTTAATTCTGGTAACATTATTGGAGTTCCTGGGAGAGGTTTTATTTTACTCTTATTTTATTTTACCTCATGTTCAAAACATGATTTATTTGGGGGGTTAAGTTTCCCCAGAAGAGTTCAGATGGACCCTTCTGGTCAGCTGTGTGGACCTGAATGTTCAGTGCTTAGGCAGCAATGTGGTGCAGTTTGGACCCAGCAGTGTTGGGTGGGAGACACTAAGTGCCACGGATAGAATTCAGGTACTAGCACCTGCAAAGCATGCTGGGGGAGCGCTCAAATATTTCCATACACAGGCTTTTGAGTTCCCAAGCTCAAAATGTTCCCATATTTCAGACCAGTTAAGTGAGAATAAATATAAGGCCCAGATACTATTAGGCTGCTCCTGGACCACTCAGAGATGACATTTCTTTTCTTTCTTTTCTTTTTAAAAATACGTTTGATTTTTAATTTTTTTATTTTATAAAGTAGTTCACAATATTTGATTACATTTAATATTCAAACACTAATCCCACGACCATCATACCTTCCCACCATCATATTTTGGATGTTTCCATTCCAAACCCCAACTCCTGCCCCAAAGCAGAACCGAAATAATATATTTTGTATTGTTTGTCACGAAAAATCACTGAAAATGCTACAAAAAAGTATCCTTAGAGGAAAGAGTGTGGAGATTGTTGTATTTCACTCAGGGGTCATTAAGCCCTATCATAATAGATCACTAGAATGTTGTTAAAGGTTGAGCCTTGTGTGCATATATATATATATGTATATATGTGTGTGTGTGTGTAAAAAAATTTCCCACTAAGATTGTTTGCCTCCTACTTTGAACCCCATCAAATGTGGTGCAGTACTCTTGTAGTATGGATAGGGTGTGTGGTATGAAGTGTGGTGCAGCCATGAATGCAGCCCCATGGTCCAGGAATAGATTCACTCATGGGTGAGGCTCGGCGTAAGGTGTGGAGAGCACCTGTGAGCATGGCGGTAGTTGAGTTCTGGAGGTTTTAGGCTTGCAGGGCTGGGTCCTTTGGGGTGGGGAGGGGTCTCACCCGCCCCCTCCAGGGAGTCCCAAGTGAAACAGCCTGGCACGAGGTACGGTAGCATGATTATGGTGAGTGTCATGTTATACTCCATTCCGGGAAAGAAGGAAATGCAATCTTTTTTCTTCCCAATATGTTTGGGGAACACCCAGCTGCACTCAGGGCTTACTCCTGGTTCTGTGCTTAGAAATCACTGTTGGAGGAGTTTGGAGATTGATTGGAGATAGGGTACCTGAGATTGAACCTGGGTCAGCCACATCCAAAGCAAATGCCTTTCCTCTGTACTACTCTATCTCTAGCCCTATATCTATTTCTGACCAGGAGTTGGTATCAAGGCAATAGTCCATTGTCAAAGAACTGGGTCAAAGAACTGGGTCCCAGCAATACCACTCCTGGGAATATATCCCAGAGAGGCAAAAAAGTATAGTCGAAGTGACATCTGTTCTTGTTTGTTCATTGCAGCACTGTTTACAATAGCCAGAATCTGGAAAAATCCTGAGCGCCCGAGAACAGATGACTATTTTAAAGAAACTTTGGTACATTTACACAATGGAGTACTATGTAGCTGTTATAAAAGATGAAGTCATAAAATTTACATACAAGTGGTACTACATGGAAAGTATCATGCTAAGCAAAATGAGTCAGAAAGTGAGGGACAGACATAGAAAGATTGCATTCATCTTGGGAACATAAAGTAGCAAAATAGGAGACTACTAACACCCAAGAATAGCCGAGATAAGTGCCCGGAGGTTTACTTCATGGTTTGGCGGCCAGCTGCACATTCTAGGGGAAATGACTAGCTCATATAGAGAAGGGAGCATCAAATAAAGGGGGTTGGGAGGATCCTCCCAGGAAGGGAGATGCATGCTGAAAGTAGGCTATAGACCGAACATGATTGCTACTCAATGTCTCTTTTGCAAACTACAGCATCCAAAATGAGAGAGAGAACAAAAGGGAATGCCCTACCTACCGCAGAGGCAGGGTGGGATCAGGGGGATGGGGGGTGGGAGGGATACTGGGATCAGTGGTGGTGGAAAATGGGCACTGGTGGACGGATGGGTACTCGATCTTTGTATAGCTAAAAACCAAGCACCAAAATTTGTAAGTCTACAACTGTACCTCATGGTGTTTCACTAATAAATATTAGAAACAAAAAACAAAACAAAAAAACAAAAAGAACTGGGTCAGATTGAACCAACCTCTCTGATCTTGTGGTTCACACAGCACCAGGACATATATTCTTCTGGTCCGGACCCCAAGTTGCTCCCTTATGAATAACACAGACCCATCCTGCCTCCTTTTTTGCTCCACAGATGCAAGATCATCTTTTAATGATAGAGGCCCTCCCGTTGATCATCGATTTGCTCGAGCGGGCCCAGTAACGTCTCCATTGGAGACTTTGTTGTTACTGTGTCTGGCATATCGAATACTCTCGGTAGCTTGCCGGGCTCTCCGAGAGGGGCGGAGGAATCGAACTCGGGTCGGCCATGTTGGCTGCGTGCAAGGCAGACGCCCTACCCGCTGTGCTATCGCTCCATAGCGGGTAGGGCGTCTGCCTTGCACGCAGCCAACATGGCCGACCCGAGTTCGATTCCTCCGCCCCTCTCGGAGAGCCCGGCAAGCTACCGAGAGTATTCGATATGCCAGACACAGTAACAACAAAGTCTCCAATGGAGACGTTACTGGGCCCGCAAGATCATCTTAGTCTCGTCCATTATCAGGACATCTCACCCATAAGAGGAAGGGCAGACTGAGACTCGGGTTCTACTTCAATCTCTCTTTGAATTCACTGGGTTCAAGTTCAGCTTCTTAAAATCCTAAATTTCTCCAGGCTCTGGATCTCACCATTGCCTCCACAAAAAGCGTTTATATCCAGCATGCCATTGGAGCTCTTAAAAATGTTCCTGGTTCTTGGGCTGGGGAGATAGCTTAGGGGTTAGAGTGCTCACCTTAGTTTTGATTTCTAGCCTCATGGTCTCTCAAAAGCATTGCCCAGGCTGGCTCTGGTGGCTTTCAACACTACAAGGCCCTAGCACTGATATGCTTACCCTAACACCACTTGGGAGGCCCCCTCCAAAATTCCGAACTCCACTTCATACTAACTAGTTCCACAAGACTCTAGTGCAGTGTGGATGTCACTATATATTTACTCTTCTATAATACTTTAGGGCATTCAAATGCTGTAGCCCATGGAGGTTGCTTTAAGTGGACTTTGCTCTTATTTTATTCTTACAATCCGGATGGAATGCTCAATCTGTGCTTTGTTGGCCCTGTTAGAGCTCTCACCTGCCCAATGATGGGCCTAGCCTCCCTCTGCTTCCCCCAGAGGCTGACTAAACTGTGGAGCGTGGCCCATTTTGAGCTGTACCATGAGTTCTGTGCAGCGTGTGGGATGTCTGTTGCAATGCTAGACTGATCGATGTGGGAAGTGTGCAAGGAGGGCTCCAACACACAGAGAAATGAATGGCTGTGGATGTGAGGGGAATGGAAGCAGTACCTATCACGAGAGCGGTGGGCTCATGGTTGCAGCTTGAAATGAAGACTTTGATGGAGTCATAGTAGTTCAACTAGAAAGGAAAATAAGAGAGGAGAACGGGCACATTAATATAAAGGTTGCATACCATGCCAAGTAAGGTGAGAGCACTCTTTCAACATTCCTTGAAAGGGGGAGAAAAGTTGTTCAGAGAGGTATATTTTTGTTTTGTTTGTTTTGGAACCAGGCCGGCCCGGCAGTGCTAAGCACTTACTACTGGCTCTGTGCTCAGGGATCATTCTTGGCAGTGCTCAGGGGATTTTATGTGTGATTTGTGGAACATAACCTCTGTTTGCTAAATGCTTTAACCCTGTTCTATCTTTACAACTCCAAAGGCACATTTATAAGACACATTACATGGATAGCACATGGAGCTTGTCATTCTTTGCCATGTGCTCAAGGCAAACCCCGGAACATACGTCCTGGTGGTGGTGTCCTGCCTGAGTATCCTGCTTGGGTTTCCCTTGTTTTTTGGGGGGGGGGGGGCAGGGGGCACACCCAGTTGGTGCTTAAGACTGACGCTTGACTCTGCACTCAGGGATCACTCCTGACCAGGCAGAGGGCCCTATGGGGTTCATGGTATTGAAACTGCTGGTGCAAGGCAAGTGTCCTATGTACTATGTACCATTTGTACCCACTGCATTGTCTCTCCAGACCCAGGTTTTCTATTTTAGGTAAAGCTGAGAATCCCAGAGTGAACCTGCATAGCTACAGAGCTTTGATTTGAAAGTCAATCCTCTTTCACTGAGAGTCATACTTGTTTATTTTAATTTTATTCTTTATTTCACACTCATTTTTGTTTGGAGGAATAATGCCTGACAATAATATTGATATCAGTGTTTTGGGCCTCACATCCACGACCAGGGTGACACTCTCCTCCCCTGACCCTTCTCTCAAGGTCCCTTCTCATCCTCCATTCACCCCCTGCCACTCCCTCCCAGCACCACTTGGCAGACTCAGCTCTAGAGCTAGTCTTTTTTTGGGGGTGCATACCTAGCACTGCTCAGAGGTTACTCCTGACTCTGCACTCAGTAATCACCCCTGGCGCACTTGGCAGAACATTTGATTCTGGGAATCAAATCCAGGTTAGTGGTGTGTAAGGCAAATGTCCTACCCACTGTGCTCCAGCCACTATAAGCAGAATCTTGTGGTTTGTTTTCATTCCCATGGTCTCTTACTTTCTGTATTGACTCCACTATTATCTCTATGCACTGATTTATTATCGCTCTCTTTAAAAAATAGTTCTAATATTGTGTTCTGTGTGTTGTGCTGCTACACGCTGCCAACCTCCAGAGTTCCCAGAACCCCCCCCCCCCCACTGTTACCCCCATTTTCCTTCCCTCCTCCACGCCCCCTCAGCACCCTCAGCTCCCAGTTCTCTTGACTATAACTCAAGGTCATTTCCATTGAGAATAGGCTAATATCTTGCTTTGTTTATACTCCACATCTGATTGGGAGTCATGCTTAGCTGAAAATTATCCAGAGTGGTATACAAGGAAAGGCAAACTCTTGTGTTTCAATACCTTTAAAAATAGAGGGCCAAGCTTCAGGACAGATCTACTGTGATTAGGGCACCAGAACTTCCAGGTAAGGCCCTAAAGTAATGTCAGGACCCAGCCACAAGTGCCAAGAAGGAGCCAGATTTGGTGGGGTTTGAAGAATTCCTTTTCTTCTTCCAGACACCCCCCTCCCTTCTACCACAGAATGAAACTTTGCAAATTGGATTAAAATCATCTGGGGCTTGTCAGAGCAAGATGCTACCTGCTAAGGATGGGGTTTTCACACCTGCCAGGCATGACACCAAGCCTAGAGAAAAATACAGAGGAGTCCTTGACACCAAGGCTCATGAGGTATGGAAACCAAGTGAAAAAACCCAGCAAGTGCAAAGGTAAGTTTGGAGGTGAGAGAGAGTTTCTGGACCATGGCTCAGGACAGCTGGACTCAACTAGGTGCCAAAGCAACCTTGGGTGATTAGAACTAACTTTCAGCTTTTTCCATGGGGACAGGCTCCCCAAGTCAGCTCCCGAGGTGAATCCCCCAGTTCATCTCTTGTTTAGTGTTGATGATCTTTTTTTTCCTTGAGTTCCTCAGTGTCTGGCACTCTGCTCTTGGGCAGCTCTGGCCTTGGAGCACACTGTTGTTCCTTTTACCTTGATAGTCACCAATCCCCACAGAGAATGGAAGTGAAAAGGGTAGGAGAGAGCTAAGTCTGAGGCTAGTGGTTACAGAGGACCAACTCCCCACACTCTGGCAAAAACAAGGCTTTGCTGTCTTAAGTGGGAGAATCCAGGTACAAAAACCCACACATGGAGTGGCATCATAGAAATGCCACTAGAAGAGGTGACTGGACAGACAGAAAATACATTGGTGTTTTCCTGTGGTTGGTGGATGGAAATGATGTTAACTATCTGTGCTTTAGAGGGTTCTTATGGGGGTGATGGAAGTGCTCTTAAACTGGATTATGGTGATACTGCACAACTCAGTACCTTTATCAACAACCATTAATCATGAACTTAAAATGGGGGCATTTATGATATCTAAATTGGACTGCAGTAATGTTGCAGGGAAACAAAAAATTAAAGAGATTTTATGTCTGCTTGGGCTGGAGCTATAGCACAGTGGGTAGGACGTTTGCCTTGCACGTGGCCGACCCAGTCGACCCAGGTTCAATTCCTCCACCTCTCTCGGAGAGCCCGATAAGCTCCCAAGAGTATCTCGCCTGCACAGCAAAGCCTGACAAGCTACTTGCGATGTATTCGATATGCCAAACACAGTAACAACAAGTCTCACAATGGAGACATTACTGGGCCCGCTTGAGCAAATAGATGAACAATGGGAGGACAGTGCTACAGTGCTATGTCTGCTTATTTAGTCAGATTTTTATTTTCTTTTTGTATGTAGTTTTCTTAATTCACATTTCCTTTCTACTGTAGGTTTGGAATTTTATTTTCTTTGTGCTGAAAACTTTATTGATTTTAATCTTTTAGACAAAGGTGACTTTGTTGCTCTAATTTTTTTAACTTTTTTTTTTTTACTTAGCAAGTAAGTTTAGTTATATTTCTTCCCCCTTTCGCACAACAATAAATCATCTGACTTTTGTTTCCTGTATATCTTTGTTTTGGTGGTGGGGGATGCAGATGGGTCACACCCAGATCTGCTCAAGGCTTACTACAGGCTCTGGGCTCAGAGATCTGGTGGTAACTCAGGGGATCATATGCAGTGCCAGGGATCGAACAGGGATCATCCATACATAAATCAGGTGGCTTATCCCCTGACCTGCCTGTCTTTAGTCCACATCTTTTTTTTGGGGGGGGGGTCACACCTGGCGATGCACAGGGGTTACTCCTGGTTCTACACTCAGGAATTACCCCTGGCGGTGCTCAGGGGACCATATGGGATGCTGGGAATCAAACCCAGATGGGCCATTTGCAAGGCAAACACCCTACCCGCTGTGCTATTGCTCCAGCCCCTCTAGTCCACTTCTTAAGAAAAAAAGTCTCTATTCAGTTTACGCACACAGTGTTTAGAAAGAGGTCAGGATGCAGGTGAGAGTTGGTTCTCCTGGTAGCATTCCCATCAGTTTCTGCTTCTCTTAGTGGAACATACCCTTTGCCTCCTGAGCTACATCATTATAAAGGACAAAGCAGACTTAGTTTTTCACTTCCCAGAACCAATATAAATGTCAGGGAAGCTGCCTCAGCTTCTTGTCTATTGACCATCATCCTTCAGACCCATAGGACACTTGGAAAATAGAGAGGGTCCGTGGAGCATGTCAAAGACTTTAACTGTTTAATTCACTAGATTCTAGTAGCCAGAGGTTTATTATTCTTTATACCTTTCGGAGCCATTCATGTGAATATTTTTACAGCTAAGCTAACAAAATGATCTCAAAATCAGCGGAGTAGTTAGTATATCTCATTAAAGAGTAGATTCCATTACTTATCTGCTAGCTAGCTTAGGTGATAGTTTGGGAAGATGGGAGGGAAAGCTTAAATTGCAATTAACTTTCAGTTAAACCTTTCTTTCTCTCTCTCTCACTTTCTCTCTTTGGTGGCTTTTTTGTTTGTCTGGGTTTTGGGAAACACCCAGTGGAACTCAGGACTTATTCTTGGCTCTATGTTCAGGCATCACTCCTGGAGTGCTCAAGGGATCACATGGGGTGCTGGGGAATTGAGCCTGGCTCAGCTGTGTGTAAGGTAAGTGACCGACCCATTATACTATTCACCTATTCCGACCTCATCTCTCTCTCTCTCTCTCTCTCTCTTTCTCTCTCTATCTCTCTCTCTTTAAATTATTACCTGGGTGACCCAGTCTCCATGCACTTTCCAGCGGACATAGCTCACATCTGGAGAGGTCACAGCATTATTAATGCTAATGTTGGGTACGTTGTCCACTTTGGGCAGTTTCTTCCAAGTTCTATAAAGAAAAACCCAAAAACTCAGTAAGATAAGATGAAGGTCTTTCCCTTCATTCCAACCAGGTTTTCTCTTCTGGGCAGGAATTCTCTCACTCCTCTCCTTTGCTCTGAAAAATCATCTCATCCTAGATGGCACTGTTAAGTCTGCACAGGACCTTCTATAGCTGCTAGCCCATGTGATGGCTCTCTTTTTCTGGGCTCCAGGAAGATTACGCATGCAAAGGATATGCCTGATATATGTTGCTCCCATTTTATCATCCAGATATATACAACCAAGGGGACTAGGGAGCTCCGTCTTGAGTTCCAGAAGGGCCACAGTGAGCAGAGACTCACTATGATCGCAATACTTAGCAGCCAGTGATGCCCATAAGTCCCTGCATGCTCAGAAAGGGTTTGAACAGTTTTCTACAATAAAGTAGTTTAAGTAAGTCTTGAAAAAAAAAACAGGCCTTGGTCACATAGGCATCACACATAGAGGCAGATGGGAAGCAATTAGAGGTGCATGAGGGGCCTCACATGGGATTAACCCTCCTTAATTACTGAAGTATTTACATGAGAGAGACAAGAATATCCTTCTAGTGGCAGAAGCTGAAACACTCAGTCATGTAACAGAGGAATGATGAGTCATGGAGGAATCCATGGTTGTCTACTCAGTTGTCATTCTCCTCCTTCTTTCTTGACAATAATACTAAGGCAGCAAGTTGGAGAGCATGCAGGTAAGGCACTTGCCTTGCATGCAGCAGACCTGAGTTTAGTCTCTAGCATCACATACAGACCCCAAAGCACTGTCAGAAGTGATTCCAGAGCCAGGAATAAGCCCTGAGCATTGGCCCACTCTTACTCTCTCCAAAAGATACAACAAAAAAAAAGGAAGGAAGGAAGGAAGGAAGGAAGGAAGGAAGGAAGGAAGGAAGAGAGTAGGTAGGAAGGGAGTGAGGGAGAGAGGGAGGGAGGAAAGGAGGAAGGAAGGAAGGAAGGAAGGAAGGAAGGAAGGAAGGAAGGGAGGGAGGGAGGGAGGGAGGGAAGGAGGAAAGAAAAGGGAGGAAGGAAGGAAGGAAGGAAGGAAGGAAGGAAGGAAGGAAGGAAGAAAGAAAGGAAGGAAGGAAGGAAGGGAGGGAGGAAGGGGGGAGGGAGGGAGGGAGGGAGGAAAGAAAAGGGAGGGAGGAAGGAAGGAAGGAAGGAAGGAAGGGAGGAAGGAAGGAAAAGGGGCTAGAGTAATAGTACAGTAGGTAGGGCATTTGCCTTGCACACGGCTGACCCGAGTTCCATTCCCAGCATCCATATGGTCCCCCGAACTCCATCAGAAGTAATTCCTGAGTTCAAAGCCAGGAGTAACCCCTGTGCATCACTGGGTGTGGCCCAAAAAGTAAAGAAGAGAAAGCAAGAAAGAAAGGAAGCAAGAAAGAAAGGAAGAAGCCTATGGTCAGGATTTCTTGGTTTCAGGAGTGTCATGTGACTCATTTCTGGTCAATGAGATAAGATAAAATCTGCAAAGAGGCTCTGGGGAAGAGTTTTCCCTTCATACCATGTGAAGTTCATAAGAGACAGCCTTTTTTCCTCTGTCTTTCTAGCAAGCTCCCTTGTTTTCTCTTCACTTTATTCTTTTCCTTTTTCCTGAATGGTGCTAACATTTTTGAGCTGAGAGATGCCTAGATATGGTGGCTGCAAGACCATGCCACAGACTAAAGGACAGAAACCAATGTGCTAATGATGGTGACAGGGCTCCTGATAAGGCCACTTGATCACTTAACATCCTGTTACTAATCTATTTACTCAAGCGGGCGCCAGTAACACCTCTAATCATCTTTGTCTTGTGCTAGTGTAGCCCAGTGGTGTCTGCTCATTCTAGAAACACAAAGAGCCTCAAACCGATCATTCAGGGTCTTGACAAAGAAGTCTGACCATCTCGTAGGTGGGCGGCCACGCAATCTTTTGACATCCTGTGGAATCCAGTTGGTAATGGCTCTAGTCCAGCAGTCATCTCCAAATCTCATTACGTGTTCAGCCCATCTGATTTTCGATGCCTTGGCAAACGAAACAGAGTCCCTGATTCTTGATCGTCGACGGAGGTCAGAACTCCTGATTCTTTCTCTCATTTGAGTGAAGTGTGATACTCCAAACATAACTCTTTCGATTCCTCTTTGGAACACCTGAATAGCATTCTCATCCTGTTTTCATAGGGCCTAGGTCTCTGAGGCATATGTTAATGCAGAAAGAACAGTGAAATCGAAGAGATGTGCCCGGAGCTGGAGGTTCTTTTTCCTCTTAGCTATTTCTTCGTTGCTCTTGAAGGTGTTCCAAGCTGCTCTCTTCCTCCTGCGCAACTCAAGGGCCAGGTCATTGTCATGTTCTCAACCTAGGTACACATAACTGTTGCATTCGGAGATGTTCATTCCATTGAGAGCAAATGTAACGTCAGGAATGAGACTGTTTCTCATACACATTGTTTTCATGAGATTCAGCTGTAGACCAACCTTTCCACACTCACGGTTGAAGCTGGCCAGCATTTGTGCCGCTTGGCTAATGTTTGGTGTTATTAGAACAATGTCATCAGTAAAGCGGAGGTGGTGTAGTTGCCAACCGTCTATCTTCACTCCCATTCCTTCCCATCCCAGTCATTGCATGATGTTCTCGAGGATGGCACTGAAGAGTTTCAGTGAAATTGTATCACCCTGCTGAACCCCTCTCTTGACATGGATGATCACTTCCTTATAGAATGGTGGGATCCTGGTAGTGAATCCATAATACAGCTCACGGAGGATCCTGATATATTGAGTTTGAATGCCCTGTTTGTCTAGGGCTTCAATGACCATTTCAGTCTCAACATAATCAAAGGCCATCTTTAAATCAATGAACGTTAGATAGAGTGGCATCTTGAACTTCCTGAGAAACCTCAATGAGCTTGGTTATTGTATGGATATGGTCGATGGTGCTGAATCTTTTTCAGAACCTGGCTTGCTTGCATGGTTGTCCTTCATCTAGTGTTCTGCCTATCCTATTCAGGATGACTTGAGTGAACAGCTTGTAGACAACAGACAACAGGCAGATCAGGCGATAGTTACCAATGTCGTGGATGTCTCCCTTCTTGTACAGTAGTACAGCCCTGCTGGTTTTCCATTGGGACAGAACCTTGCATTCAGACAGGTATCATGTGAAGAGCCAAGCCAGTGTATTGATGAGTACTGATGGCAGATTCTTCAGGTGTTCGGGTCTGACCTTGTCTTGGCCGGGTGCTGTTCGCTTCTTTACCAACAAAATGGTGTGTCAGATTTCGGAAGGGAGAACATTGGGAACGACATATCCATCCTGCGGAATTTGGTATGTGGGCAGGTGGATGTAGATATTGAAGAGATTTGAGTAGAAGTCATGGATAATCTTCTCCATTGCCCTTCTGGAAGATGTGATAGATCCGTCAGGATGTTGGAGGGCAGTCATCTTGGTCTTGTAGCTGGCAAAGGACAGGCGGGCCTTGCAAATACTTTTCCCAGCTTCTGCCACATAGGCCAGAACTGCTGCTCTTTTCTCTTTGAGGTCTTTCTTTATCGCTTCTCTGCACTGTTTTGCAAGCTTGAACATTCGCTTGTGGTTGTGTCAGGGCTTGCGTCAAGCCATGTTAGCGAATGAGCTCAAGAGTTTTCGAAGACAGGCGTCCTTTTGTGGCTATTTCTCTCTAGGCGTTCCTCACACAATCATGAAGGTGCTGAACTAGTCAATCATATTCCTCATCAATGTTGTCAATGGTTTTATAGCACAGCGGTAGGACATTTGCCTTGCACGCAGCCAACATAGCTGACCCGAGTTCAATTCCTCCGCCCCTCTCAGAGAGCCTGGAAAGCTACCTAGAGTATCTTGCCCGCACAGCAGAGCCTGGCAAGCTACCCGTGATGTATTCGATATGTCAAACACAGTAACAACAAAGTCTCCAATGGAGACGTTACTGGGCCCACTTGAGCAAATCGATGAACAACTGGAGGACCATGACCATGACCGTTGTCAATGATGGCATCTTCCCATGTTGCCACAATAGTGCCAAAGAGCTCCCAGTTGGTGGTCGTTTTGGGAGTTCTCTTCTTAAACTTTCAAGCTCTTTCTCCCCACTCTGTGAAGTAGAATTTTGCATGAAGGATACTGTGGTCTGATCCTCTTTGGAATTTTGGGACAATAGCAACATCAGTCAGGCAAAACTGTGGATTGAATATGATGTGGTCAATTTCATTGTGGAACCATCCACCAGGAGACTCCCATGTCCAACGTTTAGATTCAGCCTTCTGGAACTGTGAGTTACCATGGATTATCTTGGTCGACATAATGAACTCAGAAAGTCTCTCACCCTGTTAGTTCCATTCTAGGCCATGGGTCCCAATGTGGAATTCTTTGGCTGATCTTCTCGGTCCTATCTTGGCATTAAGATCACCGACAATGATCTTGTAGAAGGTGTGGTCTTCTTTATAGAACTTCTCCAGCTCCATGTAGAACTTCTCAATTTCTCCTTCATCATAATTAGATGTTGGTGCATAGACAACAAAGATAAAAACTGCCAGCAGTGAGCCACATCTATTCAAGTGGAATTGTCTGATTTGGGTTGTTAGGCATTCGAATGAATCAATGCTCGTGGCCAAGATCGTGTTGACAAGGAAACTGACTTCACTGACGCTGCTTTTGTTGCATGTTCCGAGGAACAGTTCTTCTCTAGTATTGAAAATGGCATTATGTGGTTGATGCCTTCTCATCTTGGTCAGACCAATGATGTCGTGCTTGATCTTTGGTGCTTGTACCATCAGGTTCTCAATGGATGCAACTGATTCCAGCATATGTGCATTGAAAGTACAGACAGTCATTTTTGTCCTTCTTCGTTTCGGCAGCCTAGTTTGGCCTTGAGATTTTATCAGCCTCTCCTTCCTCATCCTTCTTAACACTGCCGTATTGGTGGCTCTTTCAGGGTCAGGGTAATGAGACCCATTGTATTTACTGGTTTTGGCCATTTATAAGGCCAAATGCA